GATACAGGCACATGGAGAAACTCACAGAGAAGCAGTCACCGTTTTAACGGATCTGATGAGATGATCTTGTAAACGTTTTAAATATTGTTGGTATGTTTTCCAGCACAAGCACGGACTCTGCTGAGCCCTGAGAGCTGCCTGAGCACTCACAGGTTTGCTGCCCAGTGCAGGCAAAATAAGGCATATGGTGTCTCGGTACATCCACTAGGTCGTTTCTGCTACGTGCAGATACACCAGCATGTAGTGGAGGTGGCCAATGACCCTGAAAGGCAATCTTCTCTTCCAGCACAAATACCCACTTCTATACCTGGGCGAAAAAGGGCTAATGAAAGGGAGGTCACCAAAGACAAATCTCTGCTGAACTCCAGGAATAACAAATCTTGACACCGAGACCTCTGAGCGAGGCACGGTCCACCACCAGGTAGGAGGACCACAACTTCTCTCTGGAAAGCTCACTGTCAGAGACGTGATGCACTCTCTGATTTTACCTATTTTTCTTTGGAAGCAACAACGTCTTTGCAATATTTATAAAGGAGAGGCCAACCAAACGGCTTTCCTACCTGCAGAGCGACTGCCCTCAGCAAGTGCCCAAGGCGATGTTCAAGCCTGCAATTTGACAAGACCTTTTGAAACCACCCTGCCAAGAGGACAACTCAGTGGCAAAGCGAGTTAGAAGCTATTAAAGAGTTATGGAACTCAGTAAAGGAAGAGACACGCTGTGCTAATCTTGACTTTCACCCAGAGCTGGGTACAACAGGGATCCCTGGCCAACTCCACCAGCATACAGCTAGCCCCACTGGTCTGGAGGTGCAGGTCAGCAGCCAGAGCTGCACCCAGAGAAGGTGCTCTCTGCGCTGGGGTCACCTGGGCCTCCCCTCCGTGGGCATGCAGGAAAGCTCGGCTGAGCCTGCTGGGCTAGCAGAGGAGCTACTGCTGGCCCCAAACTTCAAATTCTCTCTCCCCTTACAAATAATCGAAGGAGATCAGAAAGGCAAAACTAATCGCAGGTTAGGCAAGAGGAACAGCCAGGCAGGGGAGCTGTTTTACACACACGCAAACCACACAGCCATCTTTATATATCTTTATTGCACACATCTATCCTTACATATCTCATGGGATGAGGCCAACTTCCCTTCCCAGGACAAACTATTTCTACTTAATTCTGCCAAATCCATCTGTTCCCAAGACAACTTTTGTTACTGCCTAACACAGATATTTTGGAAGGGTAAATCTTCCCCCTTATCCCCTGACGCCGGTTGCTGGATCACTCAGAGCACTCCCAGGTGATGCACTGGCTCCTCAAAGGGATTTATTCGTCCCAGTGGACCAGTGGCCAGATGCCTGCCAGTTCGCCCCCTGCACCCTGAAAACCTGTCTCCTCTTCCCTACAGCCTAATGCCATTTGGGGCAGCAGCATCTCCCGCGTCCCAGTTTTATTTTCAGAGTTATTCGTAGCATCTTGAGGGATGTATCTGTTTGCTTTGGGAACAAGACCTAGAAGGACTGATTTCAGCTGCGTGCGAGTACATTTGTAGCGTAGATTCTGGAAGACATTTGCACTGACTCGCAATTTGGGGGAAAATACTGTAATTTATTCGCAGACATGATTTGCCACTGGTGTGGCATAAATATATGTGTGCGTATGTACACGTCTCTATTTTTAGAGCGACATGGACGTGGTGCAGATTCCACGGCTATCCCGTTTAAAAACAGGAAGTGCTCTTCACCGATCTGGAAGGTTTTCAATCCTTCTCTCATTGTAAACATTATCTGCCTTCAAAATCCTTAATGTGTTGCAGATGTGACAAACAATAAAAGACCTATCATAAAAAAAGCCTACCATCTCAGAGCTTCCCACTGGGGCAACATAATAATGAATTTATTAGCATATAGTGCTCACCAACATATGTTTATAGTCACTCACAAACTTTTGACTTGACAGTTTGCAAGTATGTTTAAATCATTAAGTTTAAGTTGGCTGTCCAGTTATTACAGGGTCATTATAAATAGGAAACAAAGGTTACATTTTATACAACAGGCGATAAATCAAAACTAGTCAGTACTGAAAACTGACTTTTCTTTTTTTTTAATTTTACTCTTTTTTAGTCTCTAGTTTTTCAAGACCTTCCAAGGGGACAGCATGGTAAGGCCCGTCTGAGCAGCACATGTTTCCCGTTAACGGGCAGGGCCAGCAGCACCCACGCAGGAGAAACTTGGGCTGCCAGGAGAGACACCGTCCCAGTGACCAGCGTGCTGGGTGGGACAGTACTGAGCTTCCTCCCACAAAGACCTTGGAGGCGGCAAGACCGCAGAGAGGGCAAAAATCTGACAGTTTTTTCACCCAACTTCTGGCCAAACCTAGCACCTACATCCTGCCACCCAGTTCTCCTCCCTTCCAAGGCATGGCTCATCCACCGCAGGATCCACATCCTTCTGCAGTTCACTTCGCTACAGACTCCGTTGCAACACTGAATGTTTACACATCTCGTTAAAGTCTTTATTTCACATATTGATCCCACTACATGAGATCTTTAGGGCAGGGCCAAGAACCTGAGGCACGTGGCCCAGAGGCAGCCCACAACCCCATCTCACAGGGCCACGTGAACTTCTTCTGTGTTATTCCCGGATAATGCAAGGACATATGTTACAGAGCAGCCTGCCAAGTGTATCTGTAAGGCAGATTCAATCCTTCGCTGCTCCTACCATGGGGCCAAAGAAACTCTCTCCCAAGCTGGACAAGGCCCCTACGTCAGCAGAGGCGCTGGGACCTGCTTGAGGGGGGCTCCTGTGTTCGATCCCTGCGCCACGATATGCACCCTGTCTCCTTTTCTGCCCTCACAGCGCAGAGCATCCCATAAGTGATAAGTGGGGAATCATCAGTAACACAAAGCCAGCTGCCCCCAGCCCTTCGCGTCTCTGTTACAGGGTAACCACCTTGGGAAGGAGGGAGATAAGGCCATGCTAAACGCAGAAGTTCATTTCACAAAGTATTTCCAGATTTCAATGCCTGGCATCTTTTCACATCAGAACACTAACCTAAAATTTGGAATTAGTGGAACAGCGGGAAAATGTGGAGTGGTTTCTGGTCCCTTTTATTTCGTGTTATGTATAAACGATATGATACGATGGAAAAAAAATTAATTGAAAAATACCCTTTCAAAGTAAAAAGAAATATCATTCTGAGAACGTTGAAAGTATTTCCACACCATCAGCAATTTTTCCTGGGCTCATTTCCAAAATAAAACTGGAACAGCGGGTCACGATTTATATCCAATACCAACCAATTATGATTCTGTCACTGTCTGACCAACTTTGCCTTTATGCTCCAAAGTGAAATACAGAATAGAGTATCATGGCATGCAAAAATGAAGAAGTAGAGTGTCCCTCTGGCCACCATGATGGCACAGCTCACCTCCGCCAACGCCAGCCAGTTGGTGCCTACAGGTTGTGTTGGGATAAACCTACCGTTCTCCGCAACCTGAAACATTTTACCTGCCAGGAACACAAAGTTAATATTTTACCATTCTGTATAAAGTCGGCAGCAAATGCCCTCCAGCAGAGTAGTACAGGGAGGATAACTCCTCTTTTCTTATAACATGTATATATTGCAGCGAAAAGAGAGGTCTAAATTGCTAGACAGGCAGGTTATCTGGGAGATCAATACAGTGATTAAACTACCCTAGAGAGACAGGAAAAGGCAGAAAGGATTATACACACAGCTTCAGAGATCACTGACGATATTACGGGAAAGGGTAAAAGAGGAAATTAGAAACATGTTAAAATAGCATAAAGGTGTGACACAAAGATCATGGAAAATGAAACACGTATCTCTGCTCTCGACTCAGGACAACGTGGATCACCTGAATTTCCTTAGCGAACGCTTTAATTTTTAGTTCTTGGATGGAAGAAAGTATATTTTATCCTTCTCTGAATTACATATCTCTGAGATCTGGACTGGAGAACTTAAAAAGCCTTTTCTTTCCCTTAACTGATATTTGAATATATGTATTTTATATATTTTACATAATGTGTCAATAATCTTTGATATGAAACTGGCTTTTAATATTTCAGGTCTCACTTCATTAAGGATATTTTAATTATCCTAGACCAATGGAAGGGAATTTATAAACATCTGTGCTTCGTTTAACAGCCCAAATTTGCCTCTTAAACTTCAAAGCTGTAAAGCTGATTTTACCCAGGTTCAGTTGTCTGGTCTCTCGAAGAGTAACACACAGCACAGTTAACTGGGCCAAGTCACCAGCCGGCACAGGCTGGCGCAGCGACGCTTGAGCTCAGCGGACAACGTGCATCGCCTACACGCGCGGCCTGACCAGCTCGCCTGGTCTTGCTTCCTCCTCTTCATGGGTAATAGAGGATATGTTTATTTATAGGCAGCCTCGAAATGTTAGGAATGCCCGATGAGCGTTTTCAAAGCAAAGAAATGCATCATACCACCAGTCAGTATGATTTTAGGCTCCTAAGTACCTAAACTGCTTTCAAAAATGAAGCTGAGATATTTAAAAAAAAAAAAAAATTACCACGGGCCTCATAATTCCAGACTGGAATAACCAAGAGGGTTTGCTGCAGTCAAGTGATCTTTGCTTTCTTTCCGATGCCCTCCAACAGACAGAAAGCTCATTTTGAAACTCAGGCTTCCCGTGCATGTCGGCAGAAGAGGGAAGGAGAGAAGTCGATTTTGATACCTATCGAGAGGTTTTAAAAAAAAAAAAAAAAAAAAAGCAGCTCGCACTCTCTCTCCATCCCCTTTCCTACAGGCTGCCCTGAGCAAAACCAACCTGGAAAAGCGTCAGCATTACCTCTGCAGCCACAGTCCCAGAAGGTTCCTGCAGCAAAGCCTCAGCCCAGCCCCGCTGCCAGCAGCTCCCGCGGCACCGCTGTGACCCACAAGCCCCCAGGGGCCTGGGGCCGGCTCTGCCCCCAGCAGCACCCGTGGACATCCACAGACCCCCGCAGACAGGCGAAGGTGCCATCCTCATCACCTGCTAAGAACCGGAGCTGGTTCCGAACCCGCAGCTCCCCGTCTCCAGAGCCCCCGTCACAGTCGTCTTCATCGTCGCAGTCACCGCTTACCGCCTCCTCCTCCTCCTCTGTGGTTTTGCCCGGAGCTTTTCGGCGCGGCAAAGCCATCCCTTTCAGCAGCTGAAAGACAAGGACGTGCCGCAGGGTCATGTAGCAGCACCCCGTGATGCTGCCTGGCTCTCTTGAACAAGGTCCCCATCCCTTGCCAGAGCCAGCAGCGATGGGAGAGGACCCAGCAAGCAGCATGGATAATTCTCCCTCAGGCAAAACATTTTCCTGTGGAAGAGCTCAGGTTCATTCATGGACAAAGCTGCACACAAAACCACAACAGAAGAAACAAAAAGAGAGGAATAAAGTATACTGAGCAAGTCTGCCCTTCGGCATCTCCCACTGCAAGCCGTGCACCACAGGATGGAGCATGTCCACAAGCCTCAAGCAACCCCGCACCACCCAGGCCTGGGAGTCAGCAACCAAGGAGGTTTCTAGAGGTAGCTAGCTAGTGAGTCCTGCTATCAGGACATCTCTCAGGTCCTTACAGTGCCCCAAAGTCAGCTGCAAATTTCATTCCTTACCCTTGAAGTGCAGAGGATGCTCATCTAAGTTTTGGGGCTCTGCAAGGGAACAGCAGCTCAGAAAACCAGGCCCAACCATATTAAAAGCCACAACCCAGCTTGCTGCAACAAGGACAGGATCTGCTCTGCTGGCCCACGGCGAGCTGGCCCCATCCGGAGAAGATGTGGAGAACCAGCAGGGCTGGCAGACAACTCCTGCAGTCCTTCAGCAGAGTTTGGAGCAGACAGGAGAAATCAAAACAAAGAGGCACTTCGAATCTCCGGCACAACCCCACCATTTCTGCAGGCACCGGCACCGCTCTGGGCAATCTGGATAGTTCTGAACATCCCAAATCCTATCGCGTACGTTTGGATCGTCTTTGTCCCAGCACGGCCTTCCCAAAGGACGTCCGACCGCAACAAGACCGCTCGCAAACATCCTACTCACAGCTGCATGCTTGGCTTGGACCCCTTACACCTCCTGATGTGTTTTCGGAGATGTCCATAGAAACCAGTGTTCAAACAGTGACGGATTCAGGAATGATTTAACCTTGGCAGGCAAAGCAAAGCAACGAAAGACCCTGTAATCTGTGCAAACTCACTCCAGTGCTTGCAAGCAGAAAAACAACTAAAATGTTTTAAAGTAAAGTCCTAACTAGTCTTGACAGGTTCCACATCACTGGGAAGGGGATTCAAGTATATCCGGTCAGGACTGCTTTCAAAATATGGGTGGGAGCTCTCCGCACTGCCCTTTTGCAGTGCCTGGAAGGAATGGACACGCTCTCAGATATTGGCTTCCTCTTCAAGCTGACTTTTCCGATTTTGCTATTGCTAAAATAACCCAAACATTTCATCATAAACCCAGATTCATTTTGAAAAAGTGTGAGTCAGCTGGTTAATATATGCTGAAAAATTCTATCACTACTGCTCCACTGTAAAAAGCCTTCTTGAATTTCATCTCAGCATTAACAAAAATAACGAAAAGGATAAGTAACAGAAGATATGGAAGCCTTCTGCATACTTCAGGGGTTTAGTTAGTTCCATCTACTGCAGCAATATGCGTGCCTTTCAAGGCATTTTTTAATATCTGGAATCTAGGTTATATTTTTAAACTATTAAGCTAGCCTTAGAAAACAGTTCCTAAAATATTTAGCTGCTGAAGTTTATACAGCCTTGGAGGAATGCTTTCAGCATCTGGCTCTCCCTGTCCACGGCAACGTCCACATACCTTATTGTTTATATTAGAGTAGCATAACGTAATGAAAAACAAATGGCTTGACGTGAGACCGCTGCGGGTTTTCCCATCCACGCCACTTGCGCACCCTGCATCTTTCGGAGAGGAGCGGCACAGCAAACCTTTCCCTCTCGCGTGCGAAAGTCTGTCCTGTGTGACAGTCACGCTTTTAGCTACGGAGGAAAAAAAGGAAACATTCAAGAAAGGTAGGGGTATTTTTCCTGCTTCTTCCCCCGCCTCGAGGGCGATGCACAGCCCCGCGACGGGTGCAGGTGAAGCCATGTCACCCCCTGGCCCGGCACAGGCAGCGACTGGGCCAAGGACACCCCTGCACCGACACGAGCACGTTGGCAACAGCTTTGGCTCATGGTTTCTTTCCAGAGCAAGAGGCAAATCAGCTGGGCCAGCACACCCCAAAAACACATAACCTGCTCCCGCAGGAGGGAAAAGGGAAAAGGCAGCTCCTCTCCCCATCAGACGCACGGAGCCTGATCCAAAACTCAGGGAAGCTCGGGGGAAGCGTTTCCACGGGCTTCAATAGGCTTTCGTTAGGCCCCTTCGCGTTTGCTCTTCAGGAACTGTATTTTATTCTATTTCATCATTTACAGGCCTTTCCCAGAATACTGCATGACCACGATAACCGCCAAAAAAAAAAAAAAAAAAAAAAAGGATATTGCAGCACTGGGCATAGCACGGGGAAGACCTCACACACAAACCTAACGCTGGGACCGGCCAGGCCTTCATACCCTCACTTATAACATTTCTCCCCTCCAGACTAAGCCCAAGGCACGTACAAAATGTTTTAGGGGAAAACAGGCTCCAAAGCATAGCGCACACTAGCCACAAAGCCTGGCACCTCTCATCTGCCCTTGGACCAGCTAACGGCAGTCCTCAGCTCGGGGCCAGGGGAACGTACAACGAGGGTCTCCCATGCACCATAACTAACTGCATCGCTTAGGATGCACCACCTCGACGCACCACTGCCGAACAGAGCCCGTCGTGGAGCAGGGGGACAGGAGCTCGCGTTGCTGCGACCACTCGTTGCTGCTTTTTTGGGGTCCTTGATACCCAAGGCAGGCAATGAATCATTAGGGACCATCGTGCATCTCGGAGGCATAACTTGCACTACTCACCTCAAACAGCAGGGGCCTAGGCACCTTTCCGGCAGAGAGAGCTAAGCTTTGGGATATTTTCAGATTTAATAAGCTCAGCGGTGAGGGGGATCAGCACTTTTCAATTGTGTGTTTTCAAATATTAAAATCACTGAGCGTTTCTATTTTTTTTTCTTGGCATGCCATAAATTAGAAGCTTAATTTCTCCGCCTTCGTAGCCACAATAAAACAGGAATTTTCTGGGAAATGCCGCGTGGGCCTAGGCTTTGAAAAGCTGCGATTCGGTGAACTGCAAGTCCTGCGTTCTGGCGCGTCAGTAGCGACAAAGTCCGCCCCGTGCCTCACGGCTCTTTGGTCCGCACCATGCAACAGGGAGAAGCGGGCACGGACGGAGGAACATGAAAAGCGAGCGTGGATCTGGAGCCCTCCCAGCGCAGATGTAACGAGAGCCTCTCCACGGGCACCAGTTTGGGGTTACCACACACCCAACTCCGGTTCAGCTCTGTAATTTAACCCAGCTTTATTTGGACTACTGCATGGGACGGCTGGAGAAGGCATGCCACCCTCAGCCTCAGGGAAGCAAAGGTCCCGATGCCCCAAAAATCGGCCTCTTGGGGAATCCCAGGGCACGGAGGTGCTCAGAAACGCACAGGTGGCCCTGGCCGAGCCCTGCAGAGCTCGGGCAGAGCTGCCCCCGTGCCACTGTAAACGCTGCACCATCTGCTCTTCCCCCCCCCACCATGGTCAAATCCACAGCCAGCATCCTCCTTCCCTCCAGGAGAGGTGACACGCTGCAGGGAAACAGCATGACTTGGGGGGAAAAAAGCTTCAGGAAATAAAAGTTTATGGAGATGAGCCTGGAAAAGATCATCCAGGGAAGCAGTAAAAGGAAGATAGCAAAGACAGAGGTTTGCTTTTGCTCATGGGTCTCCTCCAAGCCCCATGCTCCAGGCACCTAAATTTGGTGCAACCAGCCCTACACGCTCCTTGCTCTCTGCAGGAGCCCGGCGACAATCCAGACCGGCTGCTCCTCCAGACCTAACCGCTACGACGACAAGCTGCCGCTGTCTCACAGGCAGCGCGGACACAACCTTCAACTCCTAGTTTTCCAGGACAAGAGCTCGGTCCACACCAGCCTCAGCCACGTGTTCCCAGCTACTAATATCCTCAGGGAGGTTCAGTAAGTCAAGTTTTGCAGCTGAAGTCCGCGATAAGAGTTGGGACAACCCACAGACTAAGGGTCACTCAAGTAGCATGAAGCAATGAGGAAGTCCTATTAGACTAGCAGGCATGGATGAATTCCAACAGCTCCACCAGAGAGCAGGGCCCCGCTGTGCCCGGCCAATGACACTAGTAGACAGTAAAGGCCCCCAGGCAACACAGCTGGGGCCAGAAGGACACCTGTCCCAGCCTCGGAACCTACCAACACCTTTAGGAGACCTAGCACATTGCGGAGATCCCACCCCTACCATGTCAGGTACCGTTTGTTCAGGGGAGACGGTGGTACGCTTTAGCTTCAGCAAGAGCAACACCACAGTCATGCCAATCTATCATTACACAACCTCCATGACGGTCTGGGCGCTTTACGAAATTACATTTGGTGGCCTGAACACAGCTTCTCCATCCTTAAATAGCAACCAAAGCTAACTACTACCCTAACATTACAGTTTATTCATGTCCTGTGGTTTAAAGCCTATGGTAAGAGGCAAGAAAATACATAGTCCAGTGATCGCTGAAGTAGTATGCAACAACGAGATAGTCTTAACTTACTCACAATTCATCCAGCTGTAAGAGTTTACAGTCATATCTGTTCTTCTCTGCAAAACCATAAAAACGCACTATCATAAAAATACACTAATGTACCCAGCGTAAACCAGAGAACAAATTGTAGGAGTCTGTGCGCAGGCAAGTGTCTCTCAAAGGTGTCTACAGGGCATGTTGTCTCTGTCTCTGGTAACTAATGCACAATAATTACAGAAAGAAACACATAACCTTTGCTTCTCATCACGAGCATAGCTCTGCCAGCCCAAACACACGTCAGCTGAGCACGCAGCCCATGTTTTGCTTCTAATCCAGCCACTTTTAAACCGTGACCCTCTAGGAGCGGCGTGGCAGCCGCGTTGCGCTATCTCCAGCGCTGCATCAGCCAAGAAAGGACATCAGCACGAGGGGCATCAGGCAGCCCTGGGCGGCTTGTGTATAAATAGTCGCTACTTGGCTTGT